ATATACATATATATATATATATATATATATGCACAAGGAATGGCACCCAACGCAAAATTTTTTTAAAAAAGATAAATTAAAAGCAAAGACGGAAAAAAAAAAAAGTACTAATATGTTAAGACTTTCATCAAATTATCTGGTCTCAATTTAGGATTTACATGATGAATGACTTGATAGACATCCGGACATGTCAAAACATTCTGAAAATCCGAAAACTCATGCTAAAACAATGGTACACCTGCAATAAGAAAATTTATGGGGTTGATTTTTTTCTGTTTGGGTACATACGGGGTCGATAAATAACTTCTCTTTTTTTTTTTTTCCCTCAGGGTGAGAGAGATCTTACATACTAAGCCAATCCTAGTTGACACAGAAACTTGTAAAAGTAGACAACTGAAACATGACAAATGCTCAGAACTACCTAATTAAATTCATCAATAAGGTAAAATATGATATATTCTACAGTTACTCTTCCTTTGAGATCTGTTCTCCTGAGTACAAAATATTGGGAAAAATTGGGGGTGGATTGCTTAATTTGGCATGATTTAAATATGAAAACAACAATGGGGGGATTGGGGATACAAATACAATAATTACATCCTAACTTCGTGCCTTCTCTTGTGCATTCTATTGGGAAAGAAAAGAAGAATCGAAAGAGCTAATTATGGGCAATCTAAAATCTGGGTTAAAACTTGTCAATATCCATTTGCAGTTCTCTGGGATTTCTTCTTGAAGTTTGAGACGCTGCAGTGCGGGCAAATGTACTCTAGCCCATCCGTTTTTGCATAGTCCTGCCATTCAGCGAATATGCATCAAGATAAGCACTTTGCTCTATATTTGTTTTCTCTATAAAGGATCCTAAAATCAAGAGCATTTACATGCAAAATCAAGCAAAAACTTGCTTCTACATTTTTTTTTTTTTAATGTAAAGCACGTAATTACCTTAAAAGCACCAAGCCCTTGCCGCCTATCACAGCCAAAGTGAGCCCACTCACCACAAATTCCGCAATTTACCCAATCACCTGCGGCACTACTGTTGACAGACAAAAACTTTGATATCAGAAACAGAAATAGCTTTGCATTTGTGAAAACTGGGGGGAGAGAGAGACCTGTGACACAACAAACAGCATTCTCCATCTACGTCATCATGAGCCAATTCATACTCTAACAGGTAAGTTTCATAATGTCTCTTTAGCGTGTTGCCCACTCCCTAGATAATCAAAATAAAAAGAACAAATGAGTTACCCAAAGGCAATGTTCGTACAACAGCTAAACAAAACAATAAAACATTGTTTGAGAAAAACTTCATGCCATGCCCTTCCCCACAGATTACATGATCAGCTCAAGCCCCATCAAAATGAACAGGAAGCATAAGGAAAAACAAAGACATGCAATTGCATGTAACAAGCTCAAGAATATCAAACAGAAAACTGTGAGGGTCAGGAGATATGATCAAAACCATACAGTCATTCGATTTGTCAATGTATGATTGCGCATCTTTGAGAAAACTTGTCCTTTCCAATTGATGCCATTCCCAACATGAAAGCCTCCTCTTGAAACAACCTGAAATGAGAAGTCCTTGAATTGAAAGTTGAAACTTCTTGACAGATTTCCCATCATAAGTAGCATGCTAATGGGCTTACCTCCCTATACAAGTTGAAAAGGTCAAGACGTTTTGCATTCAGAATTGCATCAGGAAACTCAGCTAGCCCACCTTGAGGGACCAGACGAGTATGTCCACGGAGGATCAAAAACTGCATCACATCCCTCAAAAAGTCATCCTGCCCAAAAATCAATAAGATGAATAAATATTCAATAAAATATATTGACAAAACAGAATCAAAATCCAGAAAAGACTTGAGAGGCGTAAAAGGACTAACCTCAGAGCAAACTTGTATTGGAGCTCTACCACAACCATGTTTCTTCAGAGGTAATGGGTTTAGAGAAATAATCTGCTGAGCCTGATAAGAACTAGACAATGCCTTACGATGTGTGACTGGAGCAGGTGGCTTCACAGGAACCATGGGTAAGTTAACCTTCACTTGGTCACCATCATATTTCTCAGGCTCAGAAAATCCAGAAAAGGGCAGCATCTTATGACGCCGTGTGTGCGGAATTGGCCTCATTGCAGCTACATTCAGCTTCTGCCTATAATGGTTTCCATTTTCACCTTCTAAGCCACTACAGGCTAGAGGTTTGGCATCTTTACATGGTTCTGATCTTTTACGACTAGGTACAGGAGATATCAACCAGCTAGGAATTCTTGTAACAACAGAATCATACTGAAGGAGATCTTTGCTCTGACTCGTGCAAAAGAAAAGCAAACGTTCGGCATCATCTTTTTCAAAGGAAGCAACAGACAGGCCTTGAATGCTAGCAATTCCCAGCATAACTAAGCTACGGTAGGATACATCTGGTGCCAGTTGCCTCAGAACCTGTTTAAGGCATCCCATAACAGAATCATTATCAAAAAAGGTAAATGCCAACCTAATTCAAACAGGACTTTCATCTTCAAAGTTTGGAACATGTCCACGGTTTATATGTGTTTCTCAAAGCATGATTTATAACATTTTATATATTGCTCTAACAAATGTCATCCAACCACATTTCAGAATGCACAACCAAACCAATCTCAAATCCATTCTCAAAAATAAATCAGTTTACGTTTATTGGACACCAGTATTTTCTTCTCAAAAGAACATCACTCCACAAACAGGTTGAATACTCAGGCAAATGATGGTATATGAAGTTCTAATGCCTATTCAAAACTAGTCACTTTGAAGGTATTAAAATAGCAAACTGGAAGAATGGAAGCACATGCATACAATCTCAGAGAGAGAATGAAAATCAGAAAATCCAACCTGTGAGGCCCATGTGGGAACCTTCAAGCAAACTTCAAACACACTTGCACCGCAAGCAATTGAGGCTGATTTACGGGGCTCAGATGACGACAATTTGCTTTCCTCAGAGCTGGATTGTGCATGGACTAGCTGACTATTCTCTATAAGCTCGTTTTTAATATGATTTTCCAAAAGCTGAAAAAACAAAAAAAGAACAGGGACATAAATTTACGGAGTTTTAACCTAATCAGAGTATACTAGCTATTAATCTATAAAGATAAACCATACTTGCCTGATCATTAAAGCAAGTCTGTGCACTACCAGACACTAAAAGTGATACATGAGCAGAACTACAAGTGGAAAAGTCACATCGCATGGTTACCACACCACGAGAAAATGTCCCTGCCTGAAGTGGTGGTGGCGGAGCACTGCAAATTATACGGTCATGTATGTATATTAATTGGAGTGACAACAGCAATGAGGGACAGAGGGAGAACAAAACATGTTTTCGATTAGGGATGGTGTTGGGAGATGGGAAACAAAAGAAGAATCAGCCTGTTGAGACTAAATAACAACAATTAAAATTTTTTCATGAACTCCCAAGTTCAAAACCTAAACCATGTAATCATATATTAACCACTGTACTCTTAAAAGAGATTGTTCCTCCCAAAGAAATTAAAACTAAGCTGAAAACCATTCAATACCTTGCTCGGTTGTGGAGTTTACTCCCACGTACCTGAGAGAAACAGCAAGAAATAAGCATTAGAAATATAACTTAATAAGTTATATATAAGTAAAGCATTAACACACAGCCTTGGTGGGTGGGGGCGTGATTGAAAAAGCACAAAGACTCTGACTGTTTTGTTCAATAGTTGGGCGCAATGACCATCAACTCAATTGAACATCATATATGCATCCCTGCAAAAGTGCAAATAGGCATGGGCTTTCTATTTTAGTTATGCCAATCTTTCCATGCCATACAGAATTTTAGAACTGACATGGTAATAACCCAACAACAGCTGTATCTTTTCCAAGAAAGGGGGAAGTCTTAACAATGTTCTGCTCTGATCAACACTTGGTGATAATATTCAAAAAGATAGAATAATAAATGAAGTTTTTCAGTTAAGACTAAAGAACTTCTGAAGCAAAATCAAGAAATTTTAATTTTGCATTTAACTTACTTCTATGCTCAAGAGGGCATTAAGGCCATCCTCCAAAGGTCTCAATAACTCCTCATCCTACAGAGAATACAGTTTGTGACTAGCATACACCATGGAAAAAGTATTAAAATTATACAAACAGGGGAAGAAGTAAAAGAACCAAACTTACCACAATGCATGGTAATCCACAAACAAGAAACCTCATGTTCACATCATCATCAAATATCTTTACAGCAGGAACACTTTCAGGAGGCTCTTCTTCCTCACCCTGCATATCTACCTCTGGCATAGAAATATCGATCTTGGGAAGGTCTCCAAGCAGGTGTGGCCCTGGCTTAACACTTTGCTTCTGGCTATTAGAAGGCAGGACACTGTTGTTCCTCACACAGTACAGTCTAAAGGAAGCATGAGCAAATTGGAATGCATCCCATGTATGGCTGCATGAACTGCATTGCACAGAAGCACTCGTCACCATCCAAAAATCACTCCAGCCTCTAGACTAATAAACTTGAGTTTGAATTTGCAGGTTAAATAATAACTGGGATAAATATTGCACTCTTCCTTCAAGTATATCTATGACAACAATTAGATGATTCATACCTTTGTATTACTGATAATAGTGCTTGGCGAAAATGGCAAGCTTCATAACATGAAAATATACCATTCCAATATATAACATATGGAACCCCCTAACAAGAAGGAAAGGAGGATCAACAGCGTACTTAGGCGAAAGATCAAAAAGTACATAATTATCTGAAAGCTCATCAAATATTTATCAAAGGAAAAATGAGTAAAATAATTGCCAAACCTTAGAATGAAGCATCTCTGCCAATTCATCACCGTTTGGAATCTCTAAGTAAACCTGTAAAAACAAATTGAAGGCAGATTGATTCAACTGCCATAACTAACCAAAGCAAATAAGAAAGATAACAAAATCAATCTCAACTCATATCTCTAGCATCTGATAAGATGAACTGACTAAATTTCATAGTTTCAGAGAGCATTTTTGAAGATCAAGCCAGAATGAATAGATGATAACCACAATTTATGATCCGCACACAACAATAACAAGCACAGGAAGGTGCATCACTCACTGTTGTTGGCAATGTGGAGCCAAAGAGTTCAGATAAAGCTTCTGAAGCGGACAAATCAGTATCTCCCCACACCAGAGATCCAATTTCTTCACTATCTGTATGCTGCCCTTGCAAATAAACCATATTTGGGGCCAATGATTCAAGAATCCGGCTGAACTCATCACAGCTAGGTTTGTTCAGAACCTGAATCTGCATTAAAACAAAATGACATAATATAACCAGGAAAGCAAATTCCTCATAAGAAACATAAGCAATATCCAGAAAGTGCAGAGCTATGACTCTTTAAATAAACTATGTACCTCAAGACGCCCCAATGAAACAAGCTCTGGAAACGGGTAATTGGGCCTCTCATCACCCACCACCTGCTTCTGCTTATTCTCAGAAACTTTACCACACAGGACTGCAAGGAGACTGCAATGATTCCTTGAAGACCCTTGAGTATGAAACATCATATCCACATGCCAAACTCAACAGGTATGTGCTCTATACTTTGCTAAAAAATCCAAGCTTGCTACCAGTATTGGCACCAATGCTTCCTCAGAACAATCAAAAACCCAAAATACAACTTTGAAATCTAAATCACAACCCTAAAACTCTCTGCAAATCTGCTAATCAAAAAATCCCTGCGGCTCCAAATCCAGAGAATCCGGCTGTGGATGACCAAAAATCAAACAAAAAATTCACGAACTTCACTGCATCCCAAACAACTTCAAAATCCCTAAAATCCCGAGTAAGGACTCAAATCGAACACCAGTCACCGACCCAGAAGAGATTAGCAAGGGAACTACCAACCCAAATGAGCAAAATTTACCGAAAGAGACGTTGATGCTGTGAAAATCCCAAGAACAGAAACCGAAGCAACCCAAACAACAAAAATCGAATAGTAAAGTGAAGGAACCCTAATGGAAGAATAGATACTAATAATGAAATCTCAAATAAAACCCGAAGGGACACATCTTTCTGTCTCTAATTAAAATCCCCTCACCCCTTCAGCCAAAAAGATATAAAAATTTTAACCAATCCCCACGAAATCAAATCGTGCAATAAATTATCGAAACTCAAAAATAAAAGAAAAGAATTGTGTTCGTATAAAAATCAAACATCGCCCTTTTTCTCTTGTTGTCCGTATTTTAACTACAGTTCTAATTCCGTAATCAAAGTCAAAACCCCAAAAAATAACCAAATGGGTATTTCAAAAACCAAAAGATGATCTTTTTCTGAAGAGAAATCAAGAAACCCATAAGGGGAAAAACCCATTTTCTCAAATAAATTAATCAACTTTCACATTTGATATTAAAAGCCCAACAACAACTTCCTTTTATCTTGTTCCTAAAGATAACTTCTAACAGTACTATGAGAATTTTCTCTTCTCTGGCTTTTGGGTTCTGGTCCCAAAATAAATTAGAAAATCCAATACAAATGATTATAACAGCATAGCAGAAGGTTCTGAATCTGAAGTGGGGGTATTTGTTGTTTTTGTTTTTCTATTGAGTTTGGATTTGTACACAAATCCCATAATTCAAAGACTGGTTGGGTTCTACTGTATTCTCAATTGTCCAAGGTTGTTTCGTTATCATAATCATTACCAAAGTTCTGATCTTGACTACATGGCAAGAAAGAAGTACTTAATTTGCCTAAGAAAGCAGAAATTAACATTTAAAAAGATTGTTAATTTTGTTTTCTTAATTTCTGAGTGGTGTTGTTTGGTTTTTTGGCCAGTGAGTGGTGTTCTTAGTTGGTTCTTGTTGTAGAACTACAGCCCTTTTTTAACTGGGTCCCAGTTGCCAGGATTGGCTCATGTTTTTTTCCCCTTGGTTTTGTCTTAATTCCTAAAAAAACAACAAACAAATGACTTATTAATTTTTACTTTCTTGTAGCAGTAAAGATTGGGATTTTCTAATATTTTATCATAGGTACAGGTTAACAATTGTTAATGGTGTAATTAATATTTTTTTAATTATGATTTTTACTCTTCAATCTTATAATATTGGCTTTGAATTAGTAAAATTTGTAATTTTAAACTTTATAAATTTTTATCTCTTATCTCTCTCCTTATTAAAAAAGTATAATTTGTTCAAAAAATACATTTTTTTTATTATTAATAGACATTAAAAATAATAAAAATTAATATTAATTTTATTATTAATTCTATGTAAATCTTATAATTAATTAAATAAATTTTAATTTTTAATTTTTTAATTACAATTAATATAAAAAAGGGTACTCATCAATATTTGAGGAACCTTTCAGCATGCATCATGTATAACACGACAAAGAATCAAAGATACCATTTTTGACTTCATTAATCTTTGCCAATCCGGGTTGAGATCATTCGTTAATGCAAGTCCTTTAATTTCCAGGGAACCAAAGCCACAAAAGGAAACAAAACGGTGGAAAATCCATCCTACACCTAGACTTTTATCAACTAATAAATGGTAAGGACCATTTGTTTTAACTTCTGAGTAACCTTGTAACGATCATTAAAAAAAAGGTTAGGTCCAAGGTAGTACTCCCAGTTTTTTTTTGGTAATTAGAGGGGCGTAAGCCCAGAGTATTAACAGTGGATTCTTGATTTCTTTCTTTGCCTTAGCTTCTTTGGTCCCAAAAGATAATTGGACTCACTCCAGCTAGCATTCAGGGTTTGATTAGGCGAAATAATTTTTTTTTAACAATCAAGTTAAAATATTATTGTTACTTTGGAGTACAGGTATTTTTCACCTCTTACAATCTAATGAACTTCTATAAAATACAAATTCTCAATTTTAATCCCTCGCCTCAAACTAAAACCTGTAGCATGAAAGAAATAAAGAAAGAATGAGGGCCAAGTTTCAACCTGAATTAATTGACAGCTTTAGCACATTCAATAGGGTTGCTGCACCAATCATGTATGGAAAATATAAATCTCTTTATTTTTTTGGTACAGGAAAATATAAATCTCTTTGCCCTTCCTTTTAGCCACAAAAATTACTATATATAACTTCAGGTGTTAGATTTACTAGTTGTAGTTGTACGAATGAGCTTAGCTCCCTTGTCAACCTTCCACACCAGCTCTAGACATCCACTTCAATTGGATGACTTGCAAGATTTGAGGATGTTCCTTGGGGGTAAACAATTTGACGCCCAAGTTAATATTTATGAATTTGGAATTTAGGAAGGGTAAGTTAGATAGTTATGAAAGAGAAGTGGCATAATGAATGCATCTTGAATATGATAGTTGAGGAGGTATTTACAGCCCCTAAGAGTAACTTTCCACATGGCAAACTTCCCTTGGATTGCCCTAAACCTCAGTGGTGTACTGTAACTGCATGGAAATCCATAAAGGAGTAGTAACTCTAGTGTCAGGGCATCAAGGCCAAGCTAGAAGTGATGCTATTCGTCAATAACAATGGTTGGCTCATGGTCCAAATGAGCATCTAAGAGTGAGGACAACAAGAATCATGCTTGATTGGTTGAAAATGGATCGTGCTTAGATCAATCTCTCACATTGGTAAGCAAATGTAGTCTTTTAAACTAGGTTCATGGTTCAAGTTTTCAAGTCAACACTCTAGAAAAATTAATTTTTTTAAATACACTAAGTTGATATGTGGAACGTACCTTGAAATTACTTGAATATGAATTAATCTTGAGGTACAAAAAGACTAACTAGTTCAAAAAAAAAAAAAGATTATTGTATATAAAATGTTAGGTGTGGAAGCCACATGTGCATGCATGAATATTAGGTTTATTTTGGTTAATTTAGTTGATTGATGGTGACAACAAACAATTGAGTAGATAGGGGAGGAAGAGGATTTCTAAATTGTAACATTAACATTATCCAAAACTAATCAAAATAATGGTAGATTTACCAATAGTAGTTGCATGTATCAACTCAACTCGCTTGTCAACTTTTCACGCCAATTCTAGACATCTACCTTGATTGGATGATCTACAATACTCAAGGATGTTTCTTGACATAAACACTTCGACACCCAAGTCAATACTTAGGGATTTAAAATTTAGTAAGGGTAGGTTAGATAGATATGAAAGAGAAGGGGTGTAATAAATGTATTTTAGATGTGATAGTTGATGGGGTATTTATAGGCTATAAGTGTAACTTTCCACACCACAAACTTCCCTTGGATTGCTCTAAACCTCCATGGTGTATTGTAGCTGCATGGAAATCCATGGAGAAGCACTAACTTTGGTGTCAGGGCATTTGTCAAGAACAATGGTTGACCTATGATCTGAACAAGCATTTAAGAGCGAGGACAACAAGAATCATGTTTGATTGGTTAGAAATGGATCATGCTTGGATCAATCACTCACACCGATAAGCAAATGTAGTCTTGTAAACAAAGTTTAAGATTCAAGTTTTCAAGTTAGCACTCTAGGAAAATTTATTTTCTTAAATATATTGAGTCTACGTAGAAAATGTACCTTAAAATCACTTGAAAATGAATTAATTTTGAGGTACAAAAAGGGGCAAATTCCAAATGAAAATGTTACTTTATATGAAGTGTTAGGTGTTGAAGCCACATGTGGATGCATGAATATTAGGTTTATTTTGGTTAATTTAGTTGATTGATGGCCACGACAAACAATTGGTAGATGGGGGACCAAGAATATTTCAAAATTGTAACATTAACATGATCCAACACTAATCAAAGTAATGGAAATATAACTAGTGAAGTAGATTAGGTGAATATATCACATGCCTTTCACCCAGATGGATCAGTTTTGGATAAAATTTTTCTTCAAATTCGTGTGATCTCTGGAGCATCACTAGATTCCTTTTTGTCTTTTTAAAGATGGAGGATTGAAATCATTTCTTTGAAAAGGAAAACATGCACCTTTACCTTCTCTTATTCGCGCGGTGATTTAATTCTCTTTGCATGTGGTTCATCATCGATTTATCCTTGGACTAAAAAAAAAAGAAGAAGTTAATAACGATAGTTATTTATAAATGTGTCTCTTTTTTATATTGTAAATTGTATTAAATTATAAAATAAAATTATTAAATAAGAAATCTCCAATAGCTAGTGTTAAAATTGAAATTATTTATAAAATTATTTTAATATTTTTAATTAATATTATATTATTCATATTAATTCATAAAAAAAATCTAACTAATTAATTTTATAGATATTTACATTCTTTTGCTCTTTTTTTTGTTTCTTATAACTCAACTTGAAATTTCTTAACCACATATAAATAACAGATAGTAATTGAAATTTATTGTAAAATAAAATTATTGATTAATAAAAATTATGTAAAAAATAATAATATGTCCATATTAGGACAGCCAAAAATACAAAAAATACGTCCATATTACAGCCATTGAAGGGATGTCATGAGATTTTTAATAAAAAGGCACATTGATTTTTCTTTGTTCCTGTTATGTTTAACTAGAAAAAAAACATTCCCAAATTATGCAACCCGACATGGGAGTATTAATTATTTTCACCGCGACAGCGAAGATTGACAGTGTGTACAAGTTGAGGAGTAGGGAGGAGAGTGGAGGAAAAAAAAATTTTTTTATTTGATTTTCAATAAAATTAAAAGGGAGAGAAGGAAAAAAATTTGTTTTATTTTATTTTTTAAAATTGAATTATTTATTTAAATAAAAGAAAAATAAAGGAGTCTTTTACCTTTTTATTTTCTCCCATCTAAATATAAAGTAAATCACCTAATTAAAGCAAATCACCTAATTAGGCCAAAAGATGCATAGGCTCAAGTGACACAAAAAATACCTTTTATTTTATTATTATTTTTTTAAACAGTTGTCATATAATTAAATTGATTTGTTACTCGAAAAGAAAAGAAGATAAATCTTTACAAGAATGTTGGAGACACTTCGACCTTATAAATCATGTTTAAAAGGATAATAATACAAAAAATGAATAAAGTGAATGAATTTTTGAAATCAATTACGTGGCAAACCACATTGTTAATATATTAATTTTAAAAAATTTAAATTAAGTTATTGTTTCTTGCTATCTTCTACCTCCTTTCTGATTTTTTTTTTCTTTTCAAAATCTCCTATCTTTCTCTCTCATCTCTCCCTTTTTTGCCAAGCTCCTCCTCTAGTGAACTTCGTTGAACGCAAGCGCCAGGCTCAACCCTATCCTAGCAATCGAAATTCCATAGTCATGGTTTTAAAATTTCAAAAAAGAAGAATAAGAAAATTAAATCTTAACTTTTTGGTAAAATTAAACCCTAACTAATAGAAATTCTAAATCTATAATTAGTCTTTGCAGGGGATGAGAGAAAGAGCAACAAAGGATGAAGATTTGAAAAAAAATTTGGATTTGGATGAACCCAGAAGGCCAAAACAAAGAAAAAAAGGCAAAAAAATGAGGAGAATGTGGAAAAAAGATGAGATGCATGTAAACCTTATTTTATTGATAAATTACTGAGTAGCAGTACACCTCAGATCTGTCTCATGAATTCGTCTTTTTTCGATTTTCTTATCATTATTTGGTTTAAAAATACCTTTTATCTTTTTTTAACAAAAAAAATACCTTTTATTTAGAAATACTCTGCCTCGTAAGTTGGATTATATCATGCTATAAAAACAAAAGTTATTAAATAATAAGGGCTCGTGATTAATGTTACTTGATCTTTTACCTTTAGTCTAGCTATTTTAATAAAATTTTATTAAAAAAAATAAAATATTTTATTTTTAAATTATAAATTATAATATTTTTTATTTTTATATGTAATATTTTATTAAAATTACATAATTTTAAAATAATTTTTTTAATCCTTAAAAAATAAAATAAATAAATATTAATCTCATATATATGTTTGAGATTGTAATAAATATATTTTTTATAATTAATTTATATTAAAAATTATAAAAATTAATATATTTTTTAAAATATATATAATTAAAAATATATATTTATTATACTTTTATCATTTTTTTTTTGAACATTTTGTCATGGGGTCGACTCGAATTATTACCCTGAAAGGGGAACATGAACTTTATAAATGTGGTTAGAGCCACTTGACCGAATGGTCAAGTTTTACTCTTATCATATAATTAAAGATACAGAATAAAAAAAATTCATAAAAAAATGATCTTATTATATAATTAATATTGGATAATTTAATATTATAACATAAATTACTGTCCACTTTTTCTTTTCCTTATTACATAAACTGAAAATTTTTTTTTACAGTGAACTGAAAATTAGTTAAGAACATAAAAACACGCTAACAAACAAAACACAGCAGAAAAGGACGCTCGAGAAAACTCCAACCCAAAATCGCACGAAACAAAAAGAGCTACTATCATCAAATCGCCAAAAAAAAAAAAAAAAAAAAATTACAAACTCCAGAGAAATCGTGAGTTCGTTGTTCAATTCCATTTTCCTTTTTCAAATTCTGATTCGTATGTTTGTCGATTTTGCTCCTCAATCAAACTCTAGAGGAATTGCATGCAGCGGTTTGATTTTTCTTTTCGTAGTTCGAGTCGATTCATGGGGATTTTCTGTATTCTTTGATCGGTTTTTGATGAAGTACATGTTGAGTTTGGTATCGAGTTTGGATTTGATTATTGCTGCTATTAGATCGATTGGCTGATAGTGATTTTACTTGAAGTTAATCTTTCTTCTTCTTTTTGGTTCAATTTTGATGAGAATTATGAGATTTGTGCAGTAAGTTGTTGAGTTTTTCAGTATCCAACTGTTGATTTCTAAGTTTTGTTGTTTATTAGATTAATTGTTTGGGCATTTTTTCGACTGAAGAAATTTGGAGTGGAGAAAGGTGCGGCTGGAAGTTGTTATTGTGAATTTGTGATTGAAGAAGAAAACGTAGTGGAGTTTATCGCTTTTTGGAGTCGGAAATTCCAGTTCTGGAATTCTGCTAGATGTATACTGTTTGTTTAATGATTTGAATACTTTGCTTCAGAATATTTGAATCCAATATTATTTTAATTATTATTCGTTTATATGACTTTTTATTTCAAGCAGTATGATGAAGCTTCTGGTTCTGAATTTTTGCGGTTGATTGTTATGTTAATGACTAGTGTTTACTGTTTACCTATTATTGAATTCTATATTTCATGTTTAATTTGCTTCCTTTTGATCCTATTATCATTTAGATTTATAAGGTTGTGATAAATGTTATGGAGTTCTAATGCAGATGTTTTTGATTGACTTGGTTCTGATTTGTTTAGGGTTTCATTTCACTATGATATTGGGTCAGTGATTTTGTGGTGTGCTTGTTGGAGTTTACAAATGAGTGTTTCATGATGAGAGGGCTCAAGTGGAACAGTTGTAGATGTGCACCCCTTATAACATGTTGTCTGAGTTGGTTGACACTGTGAAATCATGGTTGTGGATCCCTAGGAGGAGTGAGCCACCAAATGTGTCGAAGGACTTTTGGATGCCCGATCATAGTTGTATGGTATGCTACGAGTGTGATTCCCTGTTTACTGTATTTAACCGAAAGCATCATTGTCGAATTTGTGGCCTGATTTTCTGTGCCAAGTGTACGGCAAACTCAGTTCCTGCCCCATCTAATGAGCCAAGGACTGGCCAGGAAGATTGGGAGAGGATTAGAGTATGCAATCATTGCTTCAAGCAGCGGCAGCAGGGAATATCAACAGTTGATAGTGGAACCAATGTACCCAGTCCTGCTCTCAGTCCTTCACCATCCGCAACAAGCTTGGCCAGCACCAAGTCAAGCCGCACTAGTAATAATAGCAGTAGTACTGTTGGTTCTACTCCTTATTCAACTGGACCTTACCACCGTGTGAATTACACTTCTTGTGTTTGTCCCCGTCAAGCTGCCCAAATGAATGCACCATCAGTTGAGCAAAACAATGAATCATCTGGGAGGAGCACAAGGCCAAGGGCAGCAGTGTTAAGTTCATCTCCAAGTTATTTTGCCTTCTGTGCTAACAGGTATCATCTCTGTTGCATGATATGTTATCACAAACTTGCAATCTGATCTTTTCATGTGCCTTTGGAGCTCTATTGATCTAAATTTTGTTTCTTAACCATTAATGTCAGGCGTGATGGAGAGAATGATGAGTATGGTGCTTATCGTTCAGATTCTGAAACAAGGCATTATTCTCTGGCTGAAGACTATGGTGGTGCAATGAATATTGATGCAATTGATCTTGCTTATGGATCAAATAAAGTGCAAACTGATGGAGATAACATTGATGGCAGAACTCTAAATGGCTCACTGCTACCTGAGAACTTCAATTCCAGGGCAGCAAATGGAATTAAGAAACTTGAAGAAGTAGATAAACATGATGATGGTGATGAGCGTGATGCTTCCGCATCTGCGTATGATGTGGGGGGTGAAGACACTGAACCTGTAGATTTTGAGAACAATGGGATACTTTGGCTCCCTCCAGAGCCTGAGGATGAAGAGGATGACAGAGAATCTTTTTTATTTGATGAGGAAGATGATGATGCTACAGGCGAGTGGGGATATATACATTCAAACAGTTTTGGGAGCAGGGAGTGCCGCAGTAGGGATAAGTCAATTGAGGAGCACAAGAGGGCCATGAAAAATGTGGTGGAAGGGCATTTTAGAGCTTTGGTGGCTCAGCTTTTGCAGGTTGAGAACCTGCCTGTGGGTGATGAAGATGGCGGAGAGAGTTGGTTGGATATAATCACATCTTTGTCATGGGAAGCTGCTACACTTCTTAAGCCAGATACAAGCAGGGGAGGAGTAATGGACCCTGGAGAATATGTAAAGGTTAAATGTGTAGCTTGTGGGCATTCCAGTGAAAGGTAATATGTGACTGAATTTGAAATAAAATTTGATAATTATTCTTCTAATTGATGAAACCTTTTATTCTTGGCATGTAATGTGGTTAGATTTATGATTTTTGGTTATTGTTCCTTTTAATTGTTGAGAATAAAATTAACCACTTTTTTAGTGCATAAACATTTAACCAACTGTTAATGAGATGATTTAATTTTGCAGTTGTTCACATACTTCCGGTTTCTACAATATATGTATGTCAAAATTTTTTCATTTCCAATCTTCTCATTGGTTCATTTTCCTTTTTCTATTGTTTGGATTTGATTTTCAGAAGATAGTCTCAAATGTTTTCTAAATTAGTCCCTCCTTTTTTTTGTTAGGCTATAATTTCTGAATTTCCATGCAACTGACTTCTGAGAGTGTTGTCATGGTTAATTCTCTTAATCTGATGGAAATGAGAGACCTTGAGATGTTAATTTCTATTGATTGGTTGCAATATGGATTGGCTTTAATATAAGACAAAGCATGACTTACTAAAATGCATTTGAAATTTCACAACCTTGCTATATTTTTAAGGGGATGCTGGGGGTCGTGTTTTTGTTTGTCTGAAATTCATTTCACTAATGTGATTCTGGTGATATTTCTTATAGTACTGTGGTTAAAGGAGTTGTTTGTAAGAAAAATGTGGCTCATCGGCGAATGACATCAAAAATAGATAAGCCGCGTTTTCTAATCCTTGGAGGAGCTTTGGAGTATCAGCGTGTTGCTAACCACTTGTCAAGTTTTGATACTTTGTTGCAGCAGGTTTTAATTGTTAACCTTTTCCTACTCTTTAGGTTTGTCAATTAATTTCATGTTGCTAGGTTGCTACTAAGGGGTCAAACCAGGAGATATCCTTTATACCTAGGTTTGGAGTATCCTTTATACCTAGGTTTGGAGCTGAATAAGCCATTAAGATCATTTCATGCTCTAACAAATTCTGTGCACTTATGTAGGAAATGGACCACTTGAAAATGGCCATTGCTAAGATTGACGCCCATCACCCTAATGTTCTATTGGTGGAAAAGTCAGTATCCAGGTATGCTCAGGAGTACCTCCTTGCAAAGGACATATCACTAGTTCTGAATATTAAGAGGCCACTCTTAGAGCGTATAGCACGCTGTATTGGTGCACAAATAGTACCATCCATCGATCATCTTAAATCACAGAAGCTGGGGTACTGTGACGCATTCCATGTGGACAAATTTTTCGAAGAGCATGGAACTGTGGGACAAGATGGGAAGAAGTTGACAAAAACTCTAATGTTCTTCGAGGGATGTCCTAAGCCTCTGGGTTTTACTGTAAGTGCTATAGAACACAGACACTTATACATACTCAAGGGTATGTTATGATTTGAAAAACCTTTTTTTTTTGAAAGTGGCAATTATACTGATAATATTAGTATTAGTATCTGTTTTTGGGGGATGGGGGAGTGTCAAACCTGGGACTTGAACTTCATGTCACCAGGGATGCCATCACTTTGCTTCTCAAAGAGAAGCGTGACCACTTGGCTCACACGGGTGAACGGCAATTTGAAAAACTTATGACTATGGATTATCAACTGTAATAAATATTGTTTAGTTCTTTGGATCTCATAAATGGAAGTTAGGGATTGCCATTCATATTTATACTTAGATTAACTTTATTTTTTTGGTAGAAAACTTTGAATATAATAGTGCAGAGACCAGGACAGCTGCTTATATTTTGGTCAGTTGTTGTTAATATCATAGTAGGTGGATTAAGTGCTTTCAATTTATTCCAAATGTCCTGTTATCCCAACCATAGGATAATGCATTTCCCTTTTGGAGTGACCATTTACCTTTTTTAAACCTATCTTACTGGGTAAAGAGTTGTATGTAGTACTCAAACGAATCATGAATCCAATACTTTGTTTCAGATCTTGCTTAAGGGTGCCAATGTGGATGAGTTGAAGAAAGTGAAACATGTTGTCCAATATGCAGTTTTTGCAGCTTATCATTTGGCCCTTGAGACATCATTTCTGGCTGATGAAGGTGCTTCGCTTCCGGACCTCCCTTTGAAGTCTCTCATAACTGTTGCCTTACCTGATAAGCCATCAAGTGCTGACAGGTCCATTTCCACTGTACCTGGTTTTGCAATTCCTAGCAGTGGAAAACCTATGGCGTCTCAGCTTATTAGTGAACCACAGAAACCAAACAACAGCCTTCTCTCAGATAGAGCCTCATCCTCCAATATTGAGCCTACTTGCAAATTGGAAGGGATTAGTTCAACTTATTCGTCAAAGGGACCCATCTCACAGATTTCATGTATAGAATCGACCTCAAGTTCTATTGCAGCTATTGCCTCCTTCAATTCACTGGCTTCATTGGGGGAGAGTATTTCCTCTTACAATAATGAACCCTTCAGAAATTATGCTTCTAGAGAGGATAATGCAGTGGGTCCTAAAGAACCTGTTGAGGACAAAGGAGCCAGTAGTGCAGAATCTCTGATAAATGGCAAGTTGATTTCTGATTGTTGGCACTTGTCAGAGGTATCAGACCAAAGTTTTTTTAGGAATCAAGCCAATGGCAATATTTTGGCAGCTAATTCCCTACCTAGTCCAGAGTTGGCATCTTCAGGACATGACGCTAATAATACCAATGAAGAGACAGGAGCTTTAAAGGAAGAGTTTCCTCCATCATCTTCAGATCATCAAAGCATTTTGGTGACCTTATCAACACGTTGTGTGTGGAAGGGCAGTGTGTGTGAACGGGCCCATATCTTTCGAATCAAATACTATGGGAACTTTGATAAGCCATTGGGGCGGTTTTTACAAGATCATCTGTTTGATGAGGTACTTTGAGTTTCATAATGATTATTAGTTTCATTATTTTATATGAAAGATAGCTTCTTTGCTGTCTGCTAACAACTTGAGACACTTATTTTTCAGAGTTACCACTGTCGTTCATGTAATATGCCATCTGAGGCACATGTTCATTGTTATACTCATCAGCAAGGAAGCCTCACAATATCTGTTAAGAAATGGCCAGAGTTACACTTACCAGGGGAGAGAGAAGGCAAAATTTGGATGTGGCATAGGTGCTTGCGATGTCCTCGAATCAATGGATTCCCTCCAGCCACTCGGAGAGTTGTAATGTCAGATGCTGCCTGGGGTTTATCCTTTGGGAAATTTCTGGAGTTGAGCTTTTCTAATCATGCAGCTGCAAGCAGAGTTGCAAGCTGTGGCCATTCCCTTCACAGAGACTGTCTTCGATTCTATGGGTCAGCTCTTACTTTCTCAAACAGTATTTACTAGAAAAAATGCAAATTGTTATTTTATATTGGTGTTTGATTCTTTTCAATGGAATCCATGTATCTCTTATGTCACAGTCTCCCTAGTCTTGAAATAATGAATTATAAGTCCCTATGATCTATAGGGATGCATGCAAGTCGTGTTGGATTATGGGATTATATGATAATTGGATTTGTTGTGCCTGCTGTTTGGCAAGGTGTTATTAGTTTGTGCCCAGAGCTTGGCTACAGTGCAAAATTGCTCTGTAATTTGGTCTGAACATGGTCTTTGTTTGCATACTTAAGTACAAAAGTTAGTAAGTTACTGGTCAGTAAGCTTGACTTGCATATGCTCTATCTTTTAGGTCACCATCTTATCTCTTATTAGTCTATGTGAATAATCTTCAGGAATGTAACTAGGAAAGCAACTGATGCTATTAGAGCATATATGGGTCACATAAGTTTATAACATGTCTAAGTGGTTCAAGATGGACTAAAATTAACTATTGATCAGTATCCTCTGACATTATCTTTCATCACTTGTAACAGTTTTGGGAGGAGGGTTGCTTGCTTCAGATATGCTTCAATTGATGTGCACTCTGTTTACCTTCCACCTCTCAAACTGGAGTTTAATTATGGCACTCAGGAGTGGATACAAAAAGAAGCTGATGAGGTTTGGAGATTATGAATCCTGGCTCACTCCAGCTGGCCATTCTGAAAATTTTACAATGCTTATAAGATTGCTGTTGTTTAACAGGTGAAAAGCAGGGCTGTGATCCTATTTAATGAAGTGCAAAATGCTCTCCAAAAGATATCTGAGAAAATTTCAGGCTCAGGATCGCCTGACATAAGGATGAATATCGAAGAACTGGAAGGCATGCTGCAAAAAGATAAAGAAGAACTCCAGGTAGCTAGTTTGAGATTCACCATTTTACCTTGCCATGCCACCTTTTTAAAACAACAAATTACTGACTACTTGTCATTGTTGTTGCACAAGCAAGCCTGTCAAGTACTTTAGTGGGGTTATTATGGATACTTGATCATGGTTCACTGTTATGGCACAGATGGAAACCAATTAGAGCTGAACTAATGGTTTGGTTTGGTTTGGTTTTTGATATGGTTTTTTAATCAAGTTTTCTGATTGGTCTTTCTCCTATGGGAATTGAGTGGGGCATTTTTGAAAAATTAGTTCATTATTTCAGCCACAAAGTACCTTTTTGTAAACACTATCTTGGTTCATGTTGATTTTAATTTTCTCTCTTGGTCATAATTTTAACCTGAAGTTGAACTGATTCAAAGAAAAATAATTGTGCTGAAATGAATTTCACCAATTTGGTTTTGTCTTAATCAGATACACGATCATTTCAATTAATTGGTCTTTATTTGTTTCTGCCTTGTGCAGAAAGCTGAGGTTCTTTTACCATCTGGTTACTGTTACTAATGTATAGAGTATTGTTACTGTTAGGAATCTTTTCAGAAAGCAGTGTATAAGGAAGGGAAAGCTGGCCAACCGTCAATTGATATTCTTGAGATCAATAAGTTACAGAGGCAGATACTCTTCCATTTTTATGTTTGGGACCAACGCCTGGTAGAACATGCATCCAGTCTAACCAACAACAATCACCAGGAACTTATAGGAAGTTCCGAGCCAAAACTTGGACTGAAGCTGGCCAATTCTGTGGAGAAACTTACTGAGATAAATGTCAGTCCCAAGCTTGGTAAAGCCTTAAATGGTTGTGACCCAATAGAGACCAAGCCTAACATTAATCACAGGGGCAATAGTGATCATGGTATTGAGCTAGGTGAAAATCATAAAGATGGTAACATGGACCAGGACATGGATAAGCCTTCTCATTCTCCTAGTGTGATTTCTGGTGATAAATCTGAACCTCTAGAATCTGGAAAAGTTGTGCAAAGGGCCCTCTCAGAGGGTGAGTTTCCAGTTATGGGAAATCTATCTGAAACCCTCGAGGCAGCCTGGACTGGTGGAATTCAGCCAGGTAGCATATCAGCTAAAGAGAATGGCTATTCTTTTCCTGATTCAACCTTGATAGATCCATCAACAGTGGTAAATACAGTTGCTGTAAATTCAGATCTTGGAGTTCATAAAATTTATCAGGGTGGGCCTGGTGTAGCTTGTTCTTCTCAGTCTGCTTCACCAACAAAGAACCCAGAAAATGTCAAGAATTCCCTGAATGTAGCAAGGTTGTCCTCTCTAAATTCGTATAGTTCATTTGGAAGGATTTCTTCATTGAATACTCAAAAACTAGTTGGCAACTATAGTCCTTCCTATGTCTTGCCATTTAGAGAGTTGGAAAAGCTAAGTAGAGCAAGGCTGCTTCTTCCTGTTGGTGTGAATGATACAGTTGTGCCTGTTTATGATGATGAGCCCACCAGTATTATAGCATATGCACTTCTCTCATCTGATTATCATGTCCAAATGTCTGAGTCAGAAAGAGGCAAAGATGCTTGTGACACTGCAGTTGCATTATCCCTTTTTGATTCAGTGAATTTGCTCTCCCTTAACTCTGTTGATGAAACATTATCAGATTCATATAGAATTTTTGGATCTGGTGAGGACAATATCTCCCGAACCTCCCAGGGCACTGACCCGCTGTTCTGCATGAAGGATTTGCATGCCAGAGTCTCCTTTACAGATGATGGTCCTCTTGGCAAGGTCGAGTATACTGTGACCTGTTACTATGCTAAGCGATTTGAGTCCTTGAGGAGGACTTGCTGCCCTTCTGAGCTAGATTTTATACGGTCTCTAAGTCGTTGTAAGAAGTGGGGTGCTCAGGGTGGCAAGAGTAATGTCTTCTTTGCAAAGACCTTAGATGATCGATTCATCATCAAACAAGTTACGAAGACAGAGCTAGAGTCATTCATCAAGTTTGGACCTGCTTATTTCAATTATTTATCTCATTCAATCAGTAAAGGAAGTCCAACTTGCTTGGCAAAGATCTTGGGTATATATCAGGTATTATTTTTTGCTTTTGCAATAATTGGAGAGCTTAGGTTGCCAACCTGTGAAGAATAGTTGAATTTCCTTATGGATTTGAAACCAGCTTCTATAAAAACCAATGATAGGCTAAGAATTCCCCTTTTAGATGTGACAACCAGCATCCATTAAAAAAAAAAAGGTGACAAACAGCATATTCAAATTGTTCAAGAAAGCCCATTTTTGTAATGGCAAAAAAAAGAGAGCACATTTTTGTAAAATGATTTTGCAATTTTCCTGATCTTAATTTTGCTATAGCTCTCTGGGAAAGATTAAATAAAGTTATTTGCTTTTTTACTACAGGGTTTTTACTTGATGATAGTTCCAAATTAAAATCAATCTTCTCTTTCATGATAATAGAGCTGCAATTTGATTTACCGTTTACTTTTTCCTTAACTGTTATCATTTGGAAGGTTTCATCAAAGCACCTTAAAGGAGGGAGAGAACCAAAAACGGATGTCTTGGTGATGGAAAATCTTCTCTTTGGGCGTAATGTTACAAGGCTTTATGACCTTAAGGGATCTTCTCGATCACGATATAATCCTGATACAAGTGGGAGCAACAAAGTTTTGCTGGATCAGAATTTGATTGAAGCAATGCCAACTTCTCCAATTTTGGTTGGAAGTAAGCCAAAGCTATTGTTGGAGAGGGCTGTCTGGAATGATACTTCTTTTCTGGCTGTAAGTTGAAATTTAACTATCCATTATGCCATGGGCTTGCATTAATTTAGGGTTTTTTCAGCATTCCTTCTGTTAGTTATTTTCATGAGCCCTGTGAAAGTAGGTTTTTATTTTTGGCCAAACATGTGAAGGTATTTTGATACTGGTAATGTGCATATACTTACTATGGTAGTATGATGATGCTTCAAAGTGATTTAATATCTGTCTTATGAAATATTGGTTTCATTTTTTCCTTTCTGGCTTTGTATTTACTGTACAATCATTCAGTACCTATATTAGCTGGCAATGGGATGGGCTTGTCTTGCATATGAACATATGACATGTACCAACTGAATCAACTGAACAGTCGTGTTTGCTATCAATTCCATACAAGAATCCACGTTTCTTTCACTCAGTTTCTTTTTCTGATTGTTTTTATGTGCCTCCACAGTCAGTTGATGTAATGGACTACTCATTGCTGGTCGGTGTGGATGAGGAAAAGCGCGAGCTGGTTCTTGGAATCATTGATTACGTGCGGCAATATACATGGGACAAGCACCTTGAACATTGGGTGAAGACATCAGTCATCCTTGGTGGGGTTAAGAACACGTCTCCAACTGTGATCTCTCCCCAGGAGTACAAAACACGATTCAGGAAAGCTATGACTAGGTATTTTGTTATGGTGCCAGATCAATGGACTCCCACCACCATCGTTCCTAGTGGATCTCAGACAGACCTTTGTGAAGAAAACGCACAAAATGATACTTCCCTTGAATCATGATGTTAAGCATTTCTCCCTTATATCTCCTAGATGTAAGAAGATAGCCATTTTTGCCCATTTTTCATTCATTTATCCTGTCTATTTTTCTTCCATCCAATTGTAATTTTAGATAGATCCCATGTTCCCTCAACTTATATATTCATGTGTTAATTCTTTAACATCATAAGGGAAAGACCGATTTCACACTCAGGTTTCATGTACTGTAAATGTTGGCATAGTATTACTGAATGTTTTTCTCGTTGACATGTTTACATTTATCAATTAATTTTTGGAATTTTTTAATTTATACCTTAAAATGCATTTATTATACATTTTTATCATTGAATTGAATAAAAAATAAAAATTGATTTAATTTTTATTATGTGTCTAATTAAACTGTTTCACACGATATAAGTATTAAAAATAAAATTTATTTTTGTAATTTTTTTATATAAATAATAGTAATAAAATACAATGAATCTATTCTTAGATTATATATCCTAGAGCATATCTTCGAAAAGCACTCAACTCTTTGTTGCATACGGTGATGAATATCATCAGATTAACAAAGTAGGCTCCTTGTTAAGCCAGGCAGCAGAATGAAAGGCCAAAAAACATGTATTAAGATCAAGAATGCATGAAGTTGTACTCTTGAAAATAGAGAAGTACAAGATTTTCAATACGTGAAATGCAACATTCTTCCTATTCATCTACTGATCTGTTAATATGATCTTTATGGACTGGCTATGACAATATGTTTTTGAAAAACCTATAATGACATGAGTTGAAATGAATAATCAGAGTTCAGAAACGATGATTTTTTTAATAGCCTTTGTCTAGCTCCCTATAGGAGATTGTCAAGTTGTGCTTGCAGTTCCTGTGTTGACACCATATTGATAGCATTTTGATCCTCAGGGGAATACTCCGCTTTTAGAAGCGATTGTACCTGAATATGGGCTTCAACAATATTTGTTCTGCACGAATATATTATATAAAATCATTTCAGTTACGCCAGAAATAATAGCGCAATTTGATCTAAATGTCAATACATTTGATTAGAATTCTATGAATCTTACCTTATGGGTTTAAACAGTATCGTTCGTGTGGATGGATTCTGCAAATAAAGTTCCATCTTTGCCATCACCAGAGGGAGCTCTTGCTGAATGGCAGAATTTACCTGTTCAAGAAACATTAGACATAAAATCTGCTAAAGCAAATTTTTAATTTAGCAAGTTAAACGGTTAAATAAATAAAATTTAGCCTTCAATTTTAACATTTTCAAATGCATGCATGATCTATTACCATCTTGTTGACATCATTCCTAACTTTTAGTAAGTGAAAATGGTCACGGCTTGTGGTTTCAAAGGACAAGGGACATGGAAATTAATCTTGAAGTACAGGAAATAAAATAATGTTATAGGCATACCTTCTGAACAAGTTCAGCCACCTTTTCTGGGGTAGCAAATGCCTGTTCCTTGAGTGGTTTGGCCATAACAGTGTCTACTTTTTGATTCTGACTCCCAGAAGATAATGCAACTTTTATGGCTGTCACCTGCAGAAGCCAATTCAAAATCTCATGCAAGTTAATACTTAATAGTCATTGTTCAAGTAAGAAAAAATTCATCACTACCAAAACTGTTCTTTATAAAGTGCAAGGTAGTATTCAGAAAACAAAAGCATATAAAGACACATGAAAGCAATGAAGGCAATTAACGAAAATATGAGGGAAAAAAAATGAAAGAGGTCCTGAACTAGCTTTGCAAAATAATTCTGCTCTAGGCTTCTGGTTTTATTTGACTCCCCAATCTCAGAAGACAAACCTTGGTAACAAATGAAAGCATGGGATCCACGACTAGCTTAGTGACTGCCATAATAAATTCCTCACATGTGGCTTTGAGGCTTTTCTCTAGTTCCTGCAAGTAAATGAATGTGATTGGCATGATATATTGTTCATAGGAATAACTAAAAGGTAACAGAAGCCTGTTCAAGGAGAATTGATTCTAGAACTGGATCTTCTAAAATCAAGGCAAACCAAAAATAATGATTGAGAAGAACTGAGAGAGAATAATCACGTATTCAGGCTTCACCAACAAAATTTTGTGAATTTTACTGTTGGATTAACATTCAGTACGTGGTTTTAAGAGGAACATAGCATGCAACGATTCCTCTGTTCCTTTCTCAATTTTTGGGTTCTGGGTGGAGAAAAGACCTAGGCTTGTGATCTTGTTATAATAATAATGATCTACATGCTAACTTAATCTATTAATAAGGGCTGATAATAATTATTACCAATCTGAATAAGGTGACTTGTTAGTATGTCATACATGCAGGTCTCCTACTAATGTTACATTTTACTTTCAAACAAATTTAAAATCTTCAAGGATCCCCATTGACTCTCTTGAAAAGTATCATAGTTTTTGCCAAGACTGGCCAAATGCTGTTATACTTAATTCACAACACATGAACTCTTGAGATTCACAAAGAAACTCACAAATTGAAGTTGGGTGAATAATGAACAAAATTAGAGATGAGCAGCATAGTAGGGTTTTATTGGTGAATAAATATTATTACTGAAATCATGAATGATGCCTCACAAAGAAGCTCAGTCACTTTTCAAGATAAAAGCCTTAATATGTGTTCATTTATTCATTCATCTTCTCCTAGCTGGAAAACTCAATTCATTAATTTAACTAAAGTACAATTATCTTTCCCCAAAGAGACATTTATTAGACCCTAAACACGAGCATATATGCATCTAAAATGGCATTGAAGAAAAATGTTACCATTGCTTAATCAAGACTGTAAGTCAATTAACTAGTGTGGATAGTTGCAAACCTTCTTGGCATCAACTTGACTTTCCAGAACACGGGGAGACAAGGTCCTTGCCAATGAAGTTGATCTGGTCCAGTCAAATAAAGAGGCTTGACCTCTAAGTATCCGTCTTAGGTGCTCCTGCATTTGACATTTTGCAAATGAATCACCTTATCTCAATGTTAAAGAAAAATATTGAATCTAGTCCCAGGAAAGAAAAAAAAAAAAGGATTTCATAGGAACTGCCATAAAATAAAACATATATCCTTAAAAAGAAACTTGTTTCAGATACAACTCAGATTAACAAAACCAGTTAAGACACAGGACAACAAGAGATCAATGATTCTGTAGGCTAAAATTTGGGATTACATGAGGAAAAAAATGTTAAGAGAATTTATTTGGTAAAATGGGATCATAACAAGTTTTGTGAAGGGATTATAATTGAAGGCAAAATCTTGAGTTTTACAAAATTGTCTAGTTATTGCCATGAGAACATTATTGTGAATGGTAGCTCTAATTTTACAATTAAATTTTACTGGTTGGTCTAGGTTAAGCCATTAAGGTTTACGGGGAAAAGATTTTATAGCATTTTGAGGGAATAATGCCTCAGTTTGAACTAAAAGCTTTGAAAAATAAAAAGAAATGTGAGAGGTCCCAAAGGCTTCAAATAATCCACAAGAAAGCATACAGAAATCAGCTATAGTTGAACATTTATTTGAATTTATAAAACTTTACTAATCCCACTTTAGTTATGAAGACCTGCAGTCTCAGAGAAACTAACCAGCAAATGAGAGAAATCCAGTTCCTTGTGTATGACCGAGAATTCTATATCAAATGGTGCTATCTGAAGGGCCAAAAGTCATGCTCAAAATCATACCAAAACTTGAATAGCCAGCAAAGGAAAGCAAAAGATATTTAGTAATGGAATATTACCTGTTCCCTTAATATTAAAAGATGCTTGATAAGGAAAAGCTGCCCATCCATTGGGGTTGATCTTTTTACAATTAGCTTACTTGCTTTCTACATTTGGAATAAAAAAGAGAAGAAATTATTACAAATCAAATCAAGAGTATCCTATCAATAGACAAAAATATGAAAAAGATTAAGCCTACTAGCAAATAGAAAAAAAAAAAAAAAGAGGAAGAAGATTAAGCTTGTGACCTCAGAATGATAAGAGAACATAGCAACATTAAGTCATAACCAAGCCTATCCACATAAAGGAGTGGTATTATCTGACTTTGTGTAAATATATAATTTAAAAGAAGAGAACTAACTGCCTTCAACAGTTTTAGTTATTTAGCTTACTTGGATTGAGATGGAGCACACTTCCACAGCTTCCTGATAGAAGTCAAATTCAATAGGTTAATAGAAGTAAAGGGAATATCTTGTAGAAATTTATTGGATGACAATTTGAGAAGGTTGATTTGTGAAGACTCAAAGCACCTGTGCTAAACCTGTGAAGACTGTTGGTTCTAAGCAACGATACAATTTAGAAAGACAAGAAAGAGTTTTCTCCAAGGGTGGGTACCACGTCTTAAATACATCTGGATTTTCATCAGCCTGTAAGATGTGAAGAAATTTAGGTAGTGTTAGTTATGTACTTTTATACATCTACAAATAAGAGTAAAAAGGCAAATAAATCATGGCATCCAGCCAGAACATTGCAAATCTTTAACCACACTAGTACCACCAACTAGATCCACAAGTCACATCCACTCAACCAGTGATTGAACATGAAAATATTGTTGTTAAATGATGGTACATAATGTGCTAACATAACAAGTCTGCACAATAAGTTTCAGATAAGTATGCAAATGACACAGCTACTGGCAGGATCCATAAGCAACACCCATGTATAAGTAAAACCAAAGAAAAGAAGATAAATCGTAACACCTCAAATACTTCTTTTGTGTTTGTTTTGTGCATGTTTCAAGCGAAAAATATCATGTCACAGTTTCTTCCAATACTATATATAAAAGGATATAAAGGATAAAAACTGGTCAGTTATATTGGTCACCAGCATCTCCATGCCCTATAATTAGTGGAGAAACATTCAACCCCTAAATAGTAAATATATAGTAAATACATGCAGACTGCTGCCAAAAGCCTAGGATACTTTACCAAAGTGGTTTCTGCCTTTGCCGCAGCAGACTGCTCCAGCTTTGCAGGGTAATCTAAATCTTCATCCAGTGGGAGATAATTTGCTATCTGCAAAAGAAACAAGATAATCCAAATAAAACCAATATTCTGATAAAATACAAAGCAGAGTTATCTGCATTTTCTGTGCATTAAAAAGCCTACTTCTTTTAACATCACATGCCTAATTTATTGAGCATGTGTATTGAGCATTTGAAGATTTAGAAGAAAATAAATTGTAGATCTATCTACAAACAAACCATTTCACATTTATTTATCAAAAAAGAGAAACATTCCAGGTTCAAACACTCACCAAACAGATCATGGAAAAAACAGTCCAAAGAGTAAAAATAGAGGGATCAAGTACTGAATAATCAAAAAGAGTTACTTCTGACACAATAATAGCACACCTCATCACGGATATGTGTTCGAGCACGAAAAGTCAACCGCTCATGAACATCTGCCAAAATTCTTTCCAGTGTTGGCCGTAGGCCAGCAAGTGACCCACTCTTCCTACTAAGCTGTTCTCCCAAGACTTCGACTTTAAGGATATCAACCAATTCACAGAGAATATCAATATTTGTTTCATGAATGAGTTTTGGACGTAATGTATCATACAAGTAAGTACACCTGCAAGAAAACCAAATTACATGGAAAAATTTCCATTTCTATCAAGCTGAGGGAAGTATTTTCATTCATTTCCAAGAAATGTAAACCATCAGTAGGAAAACATAAAGAAAATGAATCTACAAAATAGAGTACACGAACACTTACAAAGGATCTATCAATGGAGCCATACTTGAGATATCCTCTGAAGAAGATGGAAAGAAATGGTCAAAGAGTTGATGCTCAAGTTGACAAACCTGCAATTCATGGTAACATGACCTCCAAATTCAAAAATCACAGCTGAATACAGAGTTTCTCCACTAGAAGTAGAATATTTTCCAGGTTAATTAATTTTAAATTATTGGGAGCCTAGAATCAGAAAAATTTGTATAGTGACTTCAAAAGAGGAATAAAATTATATTTTTCAAATAACATTGTAAAAGCACAAATGACTTAAATAAGCAAGTCTACTCAATTGACCAAAGAATTCCAACAAATAAAATTATATTTCTCTAATAACATTGCTAAGTAAAATACCTGCATTAGATATGCACACCCTGATCTAGTCAATGATGGCAAACCCTCTTTCTTGGCAAATTCAGATATCCGCTGATGCACTATGCCTTTTATCTAGAAACCATGAACCACAGAAGAATATAACAAAAGCCAAATGATGTCTCAATTCTAATGTAGAAATAGACAATGTACTACATAGAAATATCAGCTTACCAAAGAAAGACGCTGTTCACAGTACAATTTGTGGCATTCTGAAAGGATATTGACATACTCTTTCCTTGATGATCTGCTTTCAATTTCCTCCAGTACTGACTTAAGCTGAAAATACTTAAAATGGTCAGTTATTCAGCTCAGAAAGGGATATTAATTATAGCATGTGCCCAATTTCCACATCCATTCCCAGTCAAAGAGTAATCCAAGTTCCATCCAGTTTTTATGACCTCACTTGATCTCTCTATGTACTCTCCTAAGGATAATAATCTGCCAAACTCTGCATGTAACTACTTTGGCTAGAGAGGGAAACTGTTACCTCATTTGCAGCAGCCTTAAAACGGACATAAATTACAGATGCCTCTACACCCTCGGAAAGAGATGCTTTGTTGCCACCACTACCACGGATAGCTGCCTGTACCTGATTAAGGGAAGACAAGAACATCATAAAGCATTCTAGTCCATCCATCAATAAGCACATAATATATACATAAGCTTCATTTGCAGGATACTTTTACCTGAGAAGAAGCACTTTTGAGAACTGAAAGTACATGAGAACGAATCATACCCAGGGCTCGAGACTGTCAAAAGGATTTTTATTTAAGAAGAAAAAAAAAGTTAGAAAATCATTTTATATTCAAGAATATTGCCACACTTAAATCATCTAAATAATTGCTTTCAAGATACTTATAGTTTGTATTGTAAACTAACCTGAAGTTGGCGAAATTTAAGCAAATAAACACTAGATTCTGCATATTGCGGATTGCTTTCAACATACCTGAAACATAGACAAATAATAACAACAATAATAATAAGGTATGCAACGTCAATAAATGTGTGCTTGATGAAAAAAATTATACAAATTCAGAGGTAAACTTACGATATGCACTCATCAAGTCGTTTAAGCAGAGAAAAAAAGTTTGAATTTCCAACATTCATGTTTGGAGAATAAAAATTTGTTGAAATCTGCATACAAGAATTAAAACCAATTACCATGATAATAGGCTGGTATAAAAAGACAATGATAAGGCAGAATTCAAACCTTACATTCTCCAACTCATCAAAATAATTGAGCTTACTCCGAAGTGCTTCAGCAAACTCAATCAGTCTTTGCTTCTCTATAACCTGAAATGCAAACAGGGAAATTAGATAATCATATAACTAATTTAAACTGCAATTTTCTTTCAGAACATTATTTTGCTATGGTTATGAAATGCAAAATCAGAAGTTAATAAGCCTCAACACAAGATCATGAACCTAGAGTACACAGCACAAACAAGGTAATTTATCTTTTATCTAAGGTTTCAATTTCCACATGCAATTCCTCAAACCTAATCCTGAAGACAGAAGTAATTCATAATAACATTCCATAAATCCTATGCATATATCAAAAGGCTTTATGCCAAGTTTTATATCTATTAGGCAAGAAACCTTGGTTTTCCAATAAAACTGAGGATTTAATAGATGTCAAATACTAGTTACAAAAAATCATACCAATCGGTCACATGCATCGTGAAGTGTTTTTGTCTTTGTTGCTACAGCTTGGTGTTGCAGTTGTAGTTCGCTAAATAGGTCTAAGGTGTCATCCACCTGCATGACAATACACTCAACAGTGTTAAAAAATCATTTGGAAACTAATATGGTATAATTTCAAAACAAGCAAAGCAATTCAATTGTTAACAAAAAAAGAAAGATAGAATGACGTAAGAAAATAGAATGAACGTACTTGATGAAGTATGCCATCACAAGTCTCTATACGCTCTGTCAAAGTATTGACATAATGCTGATATTTCTCCTCTGTCTGAAGAGAACCAACGAGGTGCAATTAACAACTTCTAAAATATAGGTCCAGACCATAAACATCGAAAAAAGAAAATGCTTCTAACCTCTGATTTCAAGGCTGATTCAAGATCTGTAAACCATTTATAAAACTGCACCAGCAAAAGAAAAATATTTGAAGAGTTAAATCACTTGAAGATTGAAGAATAAACATAACATGCTAAGAGCAATCACCGTTCGTATTATCGAAAAAGAATTACAAAATGGCAGATCACCTGATTGGTATTGACCAAAACTTCTTCGATAGGCTTGGAATCACCAAAAGCACCAATCTCAGTGGAAACAGACAAGCCGTTATCTTGTCCTGAGCTGCGCTCGTGAGCCTATTATAGAAAAATCAAACATTACCTTCACTACATGAATTGCTACATCCTACATGATATACGCAAATAACAAGTGATCAGGAAACATGATTCTCACCAACTTCACAGGAAATGGCCGCTCAGCAACTGCATGAGACAGTGCCACTACTGCAGCCTGTTGCTGCTCCGTCAACGGAGCATTCTGCTCACAAACAAGAAGATCAAATTAGATACTAAAATGCATCCATCAATAGGAATTTCAATTCAAGAGTAGCATTTAACACGGTTCACTTCTTCAAATCAAGAAAAATTGATCAAATACAAACAATGGAGCTTCAAGTACACAGATCCGATCCTTCAACTAGAACTCATAAAATTCTGCTTCCAGTGCGGAGATCCAATCTTTTTGATAACGAAATTTCGAAATTCAATGGAAAATAGAAGAAATAACAGAAATCGAGCTGAAAATTATGGCGGATCTAGGGAGGAGAAGATGAATTTGTGAAGCTAGAAGGCAAAACATTTTGTCTTGTAAGAGAAAGAAGAAAACCTGTTCCCAAGTGGAAGCGAAGTTGTAGCCCTTGGAGATGGCTCCAGATCTGGGGAGGCTAGGAGGTGCAGTTCCTCCTTTCGTCGTTGTTGCCATTTTTCTCCTCTTATGTTTCCGTTATCTTCTTCGCAGTTGCAGTTGGGAGGACCTCACCTCCTGGCTCGTCAAACCACACCACACTCGTTCTTAGAATCAACTTCCCGATTTTAAAGTTAAAAACGCTCCAGTCACCCGCACTATTAACAAACGACGTCGTTCGAATTCGGTAACAAATTAAAGAAACATTTAAATGAATGTATGAAAAAAAAAAGATTTCTAGTATTAAAAATATGAAAATGATACTATTATAATATTATATAATATTATATATTTT